GACCAACACATTGACAGCCATTTGTCTTGATCTGCAGTTGTGTCTAATTCATGGAGTTGGATATTCACTGTGGGGGAGTGGGCAGAGCACTGTTTTGAGCTCTGTCATCTGAACATCTTCAGTGTAAATCCTAGTGTGAATGAATTTGCTCACCAAATCCTCATCCATGTCTATTAGTTCTGTTTTTGAAGAAGAAAGAAACAGCTCCCGGTAGAGGGTGACAGTGATGTAGAAGGCAGAGCACGATGAATCACTGAGGTTTGTTCGAGGCTCCGGACCTGTCAATCTTTTTGTTTGTTATCAGTTGATTTCTTTTTACGAAAATGAATTCAAACCTACCATTTCTAAACAGAATTTACTTAACCACTACACCACAAGCCAAGTATGTTTGTTATGAATTTACTTTACAATCAACATGTCTATAGTTGAGAGGATATGGGTCATACATTGTGTTTCCTCAGGGTAGGGGGCGCTTGTGAGCCCAGAATTTGGCTGCATCCGATTCCATCAAAAAAGCTCCTTTCTTGTTGTTCCTCTGCTAAAGTCTGCTACAGATTTGGCTAAAATACATGTAACACATTTTAAGATGATTTAAAATCCAATAAGGGTAATTTTATGCTTCCAATGACGATAGGAATGATAAGGAAGAGAGGTGAAGGGGAAGACGGTTGATTTTAGGAATTGGATGCACCCGAGAGTCGGCTATGGACAGTTAGTTTATGCACAGTTAGTTTATGGACAGTTAGTTTATGGACAGTTAGTTTATGGACAGTCTGGACTTAAACATGAAACTGGTCTGAACTGGTCTGTGCAGGTCATTTATAAGGTAAAACCATAACACACTTTTAAATGTGCTTTTTTACAAAATGTTGCGTTTTGTATGAACAAACAATTTGGACTTGGAACATATTTTTCTGCAGCCTATTGGCTGATTGGTGGTCTTCTCTATTTCACCTTTTTTATCTGAAAAAGTTGTTGATGTAAAATAGACCAAAAATACATGATTATAAAAATTAGTGCTAGAACCAAACTGTTTTGAGAACGAGTTAGATGTATTTTATTACATATTTACATTTGTTGTGGTTTGAAGGTTTTGTATCCCTAATACCAACAGATAAGCAGAATATACCCCTTTAGGTTAAGCAAATATCACTGAATAAGAAAATACTATAATTCAACTTCATTTCCTGGGCTCTCCTGTTTCCGCTGGATAATTGTGCACATGTGTAATCACAGTGAGTAATAATGGTCTCTTTACAGACGGCAGGACTGGGGCAGGTGACTGGAGAGAGTTTATTCCCAGGACTGTACCAGGCCTCATTATAAAGAGCAGAGCTGAGCTGACGTGAACATGACAGCTGGAGTTAGACGCGAGCGCTGGTCTGTGATCGCCAAAAGGACTGTTGGCTTTGGACAGGATTGTGGTTGTCACTCCGTATGATCAGTAGTCCATTTGGTTTTAGTTACAAGAGCAAGGAAATGCAGAATCAAATCAACTTAAAGAAAATATTACTGGAGATCAAGCTTTTCACGTTTTCCCTGAGCATTTACAGACAGGATTTTGTTAATGAATGTTGTTATTCATTTACACTGCCTTGCAATACTACGAGTACAACTTTTTATTTTGAAAGACAACATAACAAACGTGAAAGCAAAATGACATTTGGTTTTTCTTCATAAAGAATAAATGATTCTAAGGGCTTTACAAGTCTAGAGACTGAATGTTTTGCCCATTTGTTGTTTTCAGAAGAACACGGGCTCTGTCAGATTGTATTGAGAGAGTTTGTAAAAGCAGTTTTCACAGATTTTTAATAGGACTTGTGTTTAACACTTTTTCCGTTGTGTTGTTTGTGGGTGTAAATGACAAATGAGAAAAAGTTCAAGCCATGTACATTATCTCACACCCAAACAATCTCTGTAAATCTTTAAGAAACTTTTTGAATTCTGGGAAATATGGACCCAAACTGGTTTTCAATTAACACAGAGTTGGCCCGCTCAGGGTCCTTTGCGACTACCTGCAGCTCCACATATGTCACACTAATTGTGTCGCTCAGCTGTAACTTCCTCCAGACCACTCACCCTCTCGTCTCCATCTGCCCCTGCTGATCTCTGCAGCCTGTTACCACAACTCCCAACTTGGGGTTGGGTTCCAAATGTGTGGACTCTAATGTAGGGATTGCCTTTTGTGCGGTAGTTACATATTTCTATGATTACTTTCTAAGTGGTAAATATTCAAATCACTTTGTGTTATAAATACTGTATACTGTATGTATACTGCAGACTAAACCAGACTAAATTCACGTGGCTACCCAGAAACAAAGAAGCTGATGTGACCGCGTTGGCCCGTAGATGGGAAGGATATTTCTAAATATAGTATTGCACTTAATGGCAAACATTGCACTGGTCGGTTGGACTTGAACCAAAATAAACAATATTGTTGTTGCTTAAGCGTATTCAGTCATTATTCAACGGTAAACTAAAATTCCATGTGAAAAGAATTACTTCTCACTGTTCTCAGGTCAAATATTTATATGCGATTAATTAATTACAAAGCCTCTAATTAATTCGATTTTTTTTATTTTTATCGACTCCCAGCCCTAATAAACATATATATGGGCTTTATATCCTTTACAAATCTGCTGCTAGTAGCGCATTTCCATTACTGCAGGTTATTTGTGAACATTCCCCACGTACATGCTCTTGACCATGTTGACCACAAATCAGATAAACAGTGGTTTGCTGACTCCACAAAAACTCCAACGCTGTGAGATGGCTTATCTCAGCAAAGAAGGCAAGGAAAGGCAAATTTATTTATATAGCACAATTCATACACAAGGCAACTCAAAGTGCTGAACAAAACAAGAAAGCATTAAAATCATAAATAATCACAGAACATTAAAAAGAAAGATAAAAAATATAAAATCCCTCAGTTGTAGCACAGCTAAACAGAACTGTCTTTAACCTGGTTTTAAACACTGTCAGAGAGGAGGCCTGTCTCACATCTTCAGGAAGACTGTTCCAGATTTTAGCAGCATGAATCTGAAAAGCAGCCTCCCCATGTTTAGTTCTGACTCTGGGCACTAACAGGAGTCCAGTCCCTGTGCTCCTCAGAGTCCCAGGAGGAGTCCAGTCCCTGTGCTCCTCAGAGTCCGGGCTGGTTCATATGGGACTAATATGTCACTAATATACTTTGCTGGAGGCCATGGAGAGACTTGTAAGAAGAGATGCTCAGTAACACAGACTGAGTTTTTTTTGAGTTGAGAACATGAAACGTGACACTGCATTGTGCACACATCTGGGTAACTACAACATTCTGGATTCATTTATTGTTTATTTGGTTTGGACATGTTCATGAACACATCACTCCGGATTGTAGCTTGGGCTGATTTCCATCCGTTGTCCCACATTCACACTCATTCACCCTGAACGATTGTACATGTTTTTAGTGGTAGGGGAAACCGGAGTATCCAGACGAAACCTGCACAGACATGTGGAGAACATGCAAACTCCACTCAGAAAGGCCCTGTTCCGACCGGGATTTGAACCCAGAAACTTCTTGTTGAGAAGCGAGAGTGCACTCCACTCAGCACCCGTGGGCAAAGCTTTGTTCTCAGCTTCGTCGTTTTGCACCTGTAGTTGACTATTGACTATTGGCCTTTTTATATTCATGCCAAAAAGACAAATCCAATGTTTAATGAATACTGGGAAATCATGCCCAAAGACCATTAGATCTTGATTTCTTGGAAAGCACACACAGCTCCCTCAAACTTTCTCACTTGTGCCAGTTTTTGATGAAATTAGAAAACCCATTATACAGACTTAGCACCAATCACACACTAATTAGCCACTAACGGCCGGGGGACGGATATCCATTTCTAAATAATGGGCCCAAATATTAGCAGAAATCTTTGAGTCTTGTTTTAACGCTAATGGCATTGTGTTGAGATGTGACTCCTGGGTCCAAACCACATTACTCTGAAGTATTTGTGGAGCCAGCGTTGGCCTCGATAGTACGTCTTATTCCCAGAACCACATCAAATTCTATAATGTTGGATGGAAACCAAGTTCAAACCATATCGATTTCAGCCTTGTAAAATATCCTTCTACATTTGAATCACACTGTGTTTAATGATTTTACTTGATTTTGAGGGACGACAGTAGCTCAGTTGGTAGAGCATTGGCCTTTGGGCCTGAAGGTCGTGGGTTCAAGCCCACCATAAGACCTACTTCACGACTCCCACTGATGACTGCTGTCGTTGTGTCCTTGGGCAAGACACTTAACCCCACTTTGCCTGAAGCTCCCACTGAAAGATCTCAGCTCCTGTGGACTCAGCACCTGCAGGAGGATCAGTGAGGGGCTGGTGCTCTGTGAACTGGGTGCAGCTCTGACTGCCACCCTCCCCGACCCAGAAATGGATTAAGGGGAAGAAAATGGATGGATGGATGGATGAAATAATAGTAATAAAAGCCATTATAAGAGTCGTTTTAAGCTGTTCACGGCTAGTGGTTTATTTCTGAGTGTTTTTGTTCATTATTTTGTGTAAAAATGCTAATGTTAGCTCCGTACCGTAGCTTGGTGTGTTTATTATCTCCAATCTCCGCAAAAAGCTGTAAATGCACTTGTAATCATATTGTCCATAAACACTTGACTGTCGATGTGATTTAATGGGTATTTACGGAAGAAAGTTGAGTTTGGCGCTATTTTTAAAGTGCATCCCGCCCTTTCTCATGCTGTGTTTTCCAAGGATTATCCAGATGACGATTACAAATTAATCAAATACAAGAACACATGAGCCACAAGAACAGACTAAGGACTTTGATAAAATGATAATTATACACATACAAGTAAAGAATTACATATAACATAGGATTATCCACCCAGACACCTGAGTCTTCTAATCTACGGAGTGAGGTTCTGTGCAGTGATGAAGGGGAATCGTGTGCACATTCGGTTACAGCCCACTTTGACCATCTTTTTTTGCCGTCCTGTGATTGGACAGATTCTCGAGCTGGAGAAGGCGCTCCCAGGACGGTGGACCACGCGGTGATCGGAGGCGTGGTGGCAGTCGTTGTGTTTGCCATGCTGTGCCTTCTCATTGTTCTTGGACGGTACTTTGCAAGACACAAAGGTAAAGACACAAAACATCAACTAAATGAGCGGTTCACAATGTTGTTTGTCTTGAATATACAGTGTTGTCAATTATTATGTTTGGTCCCATTCTCCACAGTCCATTCTAAGAACAACAACAACAACAACAAAAACGTATTCTTGTATAGCCCTAAATCACAACAGAAGTCATCTCAGAGACTTAACAAAACCATTGAAATCACCACAGATCAGAGAATCAACAGTTAAAACACAAAATATACACATTAATTGGTCCATATGGAGAGACTAAGGTCCTTGAATGTTGATAAATGTCCATTAATGTTGTAGAATGTTAAAGTGTCCTGGATCATCACCACAGTCCTTCTAATTGAACACTAAAAAACAACTCACAAAAACCCAGCGGGTAAAAAAGTGAGAAACCTCTGGGAGACCCACATTTGAGAAAGGGCTCCGCTCCCACACGGACGGACGGGCTGTAGATCCAGGACCTAAGCTACAGAACGAGGACCAATGCCACACAGCATGTGTGATAATGATCTGAGTGATACACCACTCAAAACACTAATTATAGTCATTTCTTGCATAGAAGTGATGTCACCTGAATTGAAACAAGTGGATCTGTGCTTGTTTGCCTGTGAGCCCGCCTCCCTGCACCCTCTTGGTGACAGCCTCACACTGACTACCTCCAAGTAGAAAGCCAACCGGTGCAGAGTCATTTCAGACCTGAGAATAACAGTCGATCCTGGACGGATACCGAACTGAATGATTTTGTAGAACTTGTAACAAAAAAATGTAATTCATTGAAATATGTTATGGTAACTTGTATTGTATCATGAACATGCAATGGGCTTACAAGTGTGTTTTACTTCTGCCCTAATAATAAATATCTGTCACATAGAGCCTTTTGTCCTCGACCCATGAATGGACCCTGATTATTTAGTAAACCGTAGTACGTGACAAGTTAGCTGCATTGTACGTACAGATCTAGGCTCGTCGTTAGCATCTGTGGGAATAAGACCTGGTTTTTAGATCAGATTTTGAGTAAGTCCAGTTTCATGGTATCCGCAGTCCTTGGTGAAGTGTCACTCGCAAAAAAAAAACGATTTGTCACGGATTTCACGGAATGGAATGTGCAGCAACTTTCGCCTCATTCTTCATCTTCGGGCCAAATAGTGTCGTCATGTATTTACACCCAAAAACACATTTTCTCCAAGTTGACTCAGGAGAGGCTGTGCGCGCTAATTTACTGTTTTGATTTGATTTGTCCCCCTGTCAATCACCTGGAGGCGGGCTTCTCGTGTCACAAATTGGAGGCTTTTTGCTGCCTCTCGAGAATGAACCAATTGGAACCAATGAACTCAATCTTTCCGTCAAAAACACGCAACATTTTTAGACAAATGAACCTTACATGTTGTTTTCTTATTGCTGCTCTATTACTGGTATAAACAACCTAAAACTCATGAGAACAATAAAAACCCTCGTTTCTGAAAATGTCTTCTCTATTCTTTATAAAACGAGCTGGTATTTTCCAACATTGTACTGACTGCGTCCTCTTTTCATGCCGAATATTGCCTCCATTATCAGCCGCCGCCAAGATCGGAGCTGAATAAATCTTGTAAATGAGGTTTGAAGTGGATTTTCCTGCATCTTTGTGTGACAAATTTGACAGGGTTAATCTGAAGGTACGCCCGGCCTCTTTGGCGTTTTCCACATCATTTCAGAGGCTGATTTCCACGAGTCGGTCTGGAGTAGAGAAAGGGGAGAGGTGTGCGTCCACGACATTAGCATTATAGTGGATGATTTTCATCTGTGGCTATGTTACAAATCCAACATGGTCGCATAATATACAGTTCTTATCAAGACTTACAATGTGGATGCATTAACCATACTAATTTAATGTAATTCAATTTTAATCTGACAACATTGTATCTCATATAAACAGTATGAAGTGGAGTTTGAATGTTTTCCCCGTGTCTGCATAGGTTTCCTCCGGGTGCTCCACTGCAGGACCACTGCTCCTGATAAGAGGCCCGAGCAACAATGAAGGAGGGGTTAAATGCAGCAAACAAATTTCCCTATGGGGAAAATAAATAATAACTTACTTTAAAACATAAACATATATATTATTGCATATTACTTTGTTCGTCCCACAACGGGGAAATTTCCCAAAGGATTTCTTACTCTTAACACAATATTCATTGACTCCTTACGGAGTGGTAGTAAATGTACCAAACACTACCGTTATTCAGGCACACATCCATGGATGAATCATAATATCTGCCTTGCTTTATGCTAGTTTAATGCTAGCTTAATGCTATTTTAAGCCAGTCTTCAGCTCGGTGGACCACAGGTGCTCCTGCAGCCTATGGAGATATCCCTTAGACCTCACTCAGCTGACATTGAACCAATAGCTGGTCTTGTGTAAAAAAAACACTGGACACCTAATTGGCAAGACCGGGAGGCAAGAGAAGACCAGAATGGCTTCACCTGTAATATTTTGGCCTCCATGGTTTGAGCTTACACCAATGAGCACAAGCCATTGCTGTGAATGGGTAAACCTTGCCCACATCAGACCCATATTAGATCCTGTGGGGGAACTGCCTAGGGTCCTTTTACAGCCAGCTACCCCACTGTGGGATCTGGTGTTCTCAGAGGTCTCCCATCACAGCACTAATCAGGCTTTGCCCTGCTCAGCTACTGCGGCTTTTGACATGCAGGAGTCACCACAAAAGGAAACTGTTCAGCACTGTGCTGTTTTCTACCTTTTTAAAACACTTTGCCTCCACACGAGTTTTGGGATTTTTCACAGTCAAATTACATTATTCATAGCTGAGTGCCTGCAATAGATCATGCCATGTTAGATTTAGATCTAAACATAGTATAAATATATAATATACAAAGCAGTTCCAGTGTTTCTTCTGTACTTTATTATCGATAAAGAGATGTAATTTTGTCCATATTGTTCCGGCCTAGTATAGGTACCTCAGCTTTAAGGCAGAAATGAAACTGAAATGATACTTTTATAACGTGTTTTTTCTCTTGGCTCTCCCAAAGGCACGTACTTCACGCACGAAGCCAAAGGAGCAGACGATGCCGCAGACGCTGACACGGCCATCATTAACGCAGAGGGCGGACACTCCAACTCGGACGACAAGAAAGAATACTACATTTGATCTGCACGGTCGTCCCACTGGACACTAACTGCTGAGTACGGGACAAAAGAGGAAAAACCCACAATGGAGGACACATGGAGGGGATATTGCTTCAGGCTCGTGATTTGGCGTCGAGGAGACATGGCTCCGGGAAACGGGACAGGCCTGGGTCAAAGCCGCTGTTTAGTCTAGTCCGCAGATGTAGATGGAATGTTTTGTGTGTTTAAAAAAAATAAAAAAAATAAAAAAGTACAAAGGAAAAACCTATAAAAACAAAAGGACAACAAGCGGCAAAAATGGGCGGGGGTTGGCTGCCAGATATCACTGTAGAAAGTTTCACGTTACACCTCCCTCACTGCTGGTATACAAGTTTGATTTTGTTCGACCATTTGCAGAAAATTCTGTGCCTTGTTCTGCATTTTTAGTTTGGACTCATCCGTCATTTTATTGTCAACATTTCTCAAGTTCATCAAGCTACTGTTGGCTTTATGAGGGTATTAAAAATGCATATCCACTTTGCTGTATCATCTCAATTCTACCATGCCAGCCTTTCACGCGAGCCCCTTCTTACGTTTTGTGAAATGCATGGCTTTCTTAGAACGTCATTGTACCGATCATATCCCCTTTTTATTGGTTGGTAAGTTCCTAACGTGACTATTCTCTCACCAACTGATTGCAAGTTAATTGAACAACGGCTCGGAGCAAATGCTTGGCCACTGCACGGATTGTTAAAATGGTCATTGTCGAACCTCATTAAAAGTAAATGTTAGCCCAGCACTCTTCTAGTTTCTCTTTACAAAGGATTCTGGGGAAGAACATGCAAGATTGGCAATCAGCTAATAGAGTTTTAATCATTGTCCGTTCAGGCATATTACAGTTGCTGTCACATATTCTCACCTGGTTCAATATTGGGGACCTTTAAGCAGAGACAAACGAAGAACTCCCCAGTTTATCCTTTCAAGGAAAAGGCATGGCTTCCAAAGTGTCGTCGAGGCCTCATTTCTGTTTCGTCTTGCTTTATTATTTTGTGTATTTGTTTTTTTTCTTTAAATGATTCTAGATGGCAACCACATGGCTTCTTTTGTGGAGATAACAGCAGCAGTCATTTGTAACTCTTAAGGACCATTAGAACTAAACTGGTCTGGGATCCATTCGCAAACTACAACTAGTGGAATCTAACTCTTGCAATTGTGGCTAACTCGACCTAACTTTTGCGTGAGTGAATGTGGCTAGCTTAAGCTAACTCTTGTTAGTTTGGCTAACTTGAATTAACTCTTGTTAATATGGCCTACTCAAGCTAATCCTAAATCGACTGGACTTTTGCTAACGTGGTTAACTCGAGCTAACTCTTGCTAATGGGATAACTCGAGCTAACTCTTGCTACTATGGCTAACTCGAGCTAACTCTTGCTACTATGGCTAACTCGAGCTAACTCTTGCTACTATGGCTAACTCGAGCTAACTCTTGCTAATGTTATAACTCGAGCTAACTCTTGCTACTATGGCTAACTCGAGCTAACTCTTGCTACTATGGCTAACTCGAGCTAACTCTTGCTACTATGGCTAACTCGAGCTAACTCTTGCTAATGTTATAACTCGAGCTAACTCTTGCTAATGTGGCTAACTCGACCAAACTCTTGCTACTTCCAATATGCCAGAAGTTTAGGAATAAGATTGGATAGGTGCAAATTGTTTAAAATTAATAACAGCAAAGATTATCAAAGCACTATTACTTTTGTTCTTCCTTCCACCACTGTATCGTCCCAAATTATGTCTGCGTCCCAGACCATGCAGCTGGATTAACGTTGCTATATATATATTCTGTATAAACGTCACCTGTTGGACCTTCAGGCCTAATGTTTCCTTGAGCACCCTACTTCCATTGGCTCACTGGTTCATGCCTGTCTTCACACCTCCTCAGTTTCTGTAGTCTATGAACACACACAGCCTTAAGCAAGCCCAGTCATTTGCATGTTACCGAACAATACATCTTTCCAATGACAACCTCAGTGTACACCGAGCCAACTCTTTTGATCACTTCTATGGGGAGTTACAAGTTACGGGCATTTCGTTTAGCCATGGCTCGACTTTGGTAATATTCATGTGGTTGATTATCAAAACAGGTTGGCAAGGCCTGTAGGAACTGATAACGTTATCTAAGTTATTTACGTAATCAATTTGGCCCCTTTCAAATCTACAGGGCAGACTTCTCATACAGAACAAGTTGCATATTGGAGCTTAATGCACACAAGCTCTTCCTATTTATAAAAAGTATCATTTTACTGGTTACTCTAAAGGTGCAACTTTTCTGACGGGGCCTGGCTCTTCTTGCAATTCTTTCCATTGGTATCTATCTTTCTTGTGTCCAATATCGAGGGATACATTTAGAACAAGACGGTGGAATAATCCAGACATAACAACATTCATTTGATATCATTTAGCATCAATGAACGAAATGCCAAGAACTTAAGAACCCTCCTTTTCTGTATTATACACTAATCTTTACTAAGAGATGTTTTTACTGGGATTCTCATGTTTGTGGATTTTCTTGTATCACTCATTGTGCATCTTGTCAACTTGTAACAAACATTGTAGGGGGGAGGAATAGTCTTCAAATCTCTTGACTGCGGCTTCCATGACATATTTTGAAAAGCGTGGGTGTTTTTTGCATGTGTGTACAGTACAAAACCGCTTCTATTCCCTGCCTTGTGAATCATCTACAGAACACTTGACAGACGCCGTGTTTGAAGAAGCGTAAGCGGGAATGAAATCCAATCGCAGACTTATGCTGACTGTAATTGTGGATCGGTTCATTCTGAGGGCATTGGTGATGAATGGGTGTGGTTCATTATGTCGTCCACAATAGAGTCATTTGGAAAGAAGGGGGTGGGCAATGTGCAAGAACTTCCTGAGTCATTGCTGAACAGTAAAAAAGATGTCCTATACGTTGAGACACCTTTGGAGTTCCCTCATTAAAATCAGACCTGTTGTTTTTGGGTTTCATCCTCTTTGTGGTTGAAAATCTTGATATTAAAGATACCCCTTCCCTTAAAAACTGTGTTGGATTTGTCCAATTTGGTTCATAACTGACAGAGCTGTGGCTAACTGTTTAACCAAATGTATTGTCACGCTTGTTGCAGTTGCATTATGCTAATTACAACTGCATTATGCTATTTACAACTGCATGCTTAAACGGTCATGAGAAATTGGAAACAACCACACCTTTTCATTGGCAAAAATTGAATGTGTTTTTTTCACTTTAAGCTGGATCTTGTCACATTAACACTTGGAAATAGCTTTAATATCTCATAGTCATGCATGGATGCAATGTTGGTTTTCCATACCCATTGTTCGGTGTTACAAATGTCATGTTAGCATAAACATTGGAATGTTATTGAGGTGATGACATATCTGCAGTGACACTTGTGTTGAAATAGATCTGGGCAAAGATTATGTTTTTATTAATATTGTGTTTACTGTCTGTCCCTGATTACTACTGATGTCCTGCTTCCACAAATCAGCAAGGTCCGAGTCCGTAATGAATTTGGGTTACATGTCATATTGCAAAGCATCTCTCAGGGCCTAAGAAAGCTTCGGGTTGGTCGCAGAACTAAATTAAACCTGTCACAGATCTACTTTGTTTGGGGCATACTCCAGTCAATGCTACCAATGCAAATGATCAGCGCTTCGTACTAAACTGACTAGCGGAAGCAGGACTGTAAATGGATGTTTGTATGGCGGTTTTTCAAACGTAGTGAAAGAGGTTTTGGCCTAATTTTCTGAAATGTTGAATAAAACTCTCATCTCATAATTTGGCTTCCATTTGAATTGGTTCGGTCGGAACTATTAGAACCTCAAACTGAGTTCCCTCCAGCTAAGTTTGGATCTTCCTGATGCGTTGATGTTCTTGCTCGATGTCTGCTATGTTTAAAACTGCAAATCTTATTTTGTCAGTAGTTCATCATAAAATAGAAGGTTGAATTTTGCCAAAATGCATTGTTTTTTTCATGTTTCCTTGCATTTTTCATGTCTGTTATAGACTTTACCAAATACAGTTACAAAGAGTTAGCAACAGTCGTTTCATGATGATCATAAAAATATACATCGACAAAGGATCTCAGTTGCCATGACTACGATCCACCAACTTCCTGCTTCTGTTTTGACTTTGGGCATATATTCGGTTTCATTTCCTACTTTCTGTCAAGATCGTAAAAAGCTTCAAAAAGGTGGTCATCTGAATCACGTATTACACATAATCAAGAAGAGGTCTCAAAATGACTCGAAACATCTCAATATTATTAATATCAGATGTTTTTCTCAAATTACTACTTTCATTTCATTTTTATCCAGTTTCACAGAATTCAACCTTCTCTTGCATCGGACCTTTCGTAGACTAAGTCTAAGCGATTGCACCACTTGGTAAATTAACGCGAGTCAAAATGTACAATTTATTAGGTACCAATTTATTTATGTTGTCATGGTGTAATTAAATTATGCCGTAAATTAAGTTTTATGTTTTATCTGTCAGTGAATAATGTGGATCGTTCAAAATGTAATAAAAACATCTATAATACAATTAAAAAATGTAAATGAAGAAAACTAAATCATTAATTTGATTTAATCTAAATATAATTAAATAACTTGCTTTCCTTTGTATGTTGTTGGTCTGAAAACATCCTGAGGCCATACTCCCACCGTGTATCTGACGAAATATGTAGAAATTGCAGGAATTCATAAAAGAACCTCCAATAAAGACATTTGGACACTGTGCTCCCTGACCTTCTCCACAACATTACACCTTGTGTCCTTCAGTCTTTTCTCAGGTCTGACAGGTTTTGACCTATACATCTCAGGTAGAATTTTGCCCCGACATGAGCCAGCGCACAACGCATCACAATGAGATCACTATTGACTTGTCGCAAAAATGCTTATATATATGTGTTACTTGAATTGTCTAGAAAATGTGTTTTTTGTGTAAAAGGACAGATATTATGCAAAATGTTATTTTTGAGTTTTTGACCATTGTTCAATCATCAAAAACAGTGTTTTAGCTCCATCCACGCAAATATCAGGAACATCTGATACAAACACGTCCCACTGCCAATTCTGTATAAATTAAATAACTATAAATCCTCAATCATTTACATCATGGAGAGAACTGTTTACTTCTAAAACAGATTTAAGAAGTTGGGGTGAAAGTAGTTATATCTCACTATCTATAGACAGACAGTTGAAATGGAGTGTTTTATGAAGGGGACAGATTGTACAGAAGATTCCAGATATTAGCGCTAAATGAGCTCAAAACAACCTTGACTATGGAACAACCACATAATGTGTGTCCTACGCTTGCGTTTAGAAATGCTGTATTGTTTGTAGCGAATGGAATATTCTTTACTTGACGTGGCTTTCTCTGACTGTCCGTGAACGCACCACTAACCCAATCCCCTAATCCCATTGTCGTCACTGCACTGTTGTTTTCGACTGAACCTTTTGTCTCTCTGCTTTTCTTGGCAAACATTACTGTATATCGATGACAAAAGGAGATCCACATCCCCATACACATTTTGTATTGGTTCGGAAATAAGACATTTTTACAAAAACAAATGAAGAGTTCTTGTCTTAATAAAAAGGAAAAGATATTAATGTCAGTAATTGTTAGTGTGCTTTATTTTTGTCATGTCATGTGTTGTACTTGCTCGACAGAATTTGAGCAGTTTAATATTCTTGTTATTTAAACTTATCAAAGTTAAAATTTGCAACTAGCCACACAAAAAAAAAATGTCTGGTGCACACTAGGGTAGTCTTGCACAGTTTTTCCAATGTGGTTTTACTGCAAATGGCAAATAAATGAATCTGAAAATCTAGTTGCTAAGGACTAGCTCTGGGAAGTACGACCTCGCTGCATGTTGAATACTTCCTCTCGGGCGGCGGCACGGTGGCTGAGTGGATAGCACTTTCGCCTCTCAGCAAGAAGGTCCTGGGTTCGAATCCCTGTCGGACCAGGGCCTTTCTGGGTGGAGTTTGCATGTTCTCCCCGTGTCTGCGTAGGTTTCCTCCGGGTACTCTGGTTTCCCCTACCACTAAAAATATGTCCAATAGGCATGTCTGGGATGCGCCTCCTGTACTGGCCCCTCCCATCTCTGTGTGGAGTGAGAGATAAATGCCCATAATTAACAATTGTAAACTGCTTTGAGACTCAGATCTGCAGTGAAAAGGCGGTATAAAAATAAAGGTTACTTACTTACTCTCCAATAATACTTTTCCCCACTTGAGCAATCGAGAAATGACAATAACTGTGACAGTATTTTGGAGTGGCAAACCGGGGTGACCGGACATTGTTTTCCAATTAACGTGGGGTCACATTCCTCAGACCCCCTGGTAAGGTTTTCTACAAGGTACTGTCACAGCCGTGGAACACTGCCCAATCCCAGGGGATCATGGGAGGCCTCCCAACATGTGCTTAGTGAGGGCTGTCTGTTCCCTGTATGAGACAAAGCTGTGCTTGCATTGCTGTACGTCCGTTTCCGCCTAAACATTATCAGGAATATATATTTTTACACCAAGACATTTTAAATATGTTCTCTATAGTCAATATTCTTTGCTTCATATTTTTTTCTACGTTGGATGCACATGACATTTGGAGTAGTGGTGTTCATGTTAGAGTTTTTATCCAATCATTGTTCAGCTTCATGTGTTGCCAGGGTCCAAGATCTTCCTCTAGGCCTTCAGAATCAACTTTGCTGGCTCATGGAAGCTTTTAAAGTAAATGAAAACAAACCTGTTTCTTTCCCTTAGGGCCAGTTAGCAGGCCCTGAGTGACGTCAGAGTGGGCTCGTCTTTTGATTGGATAGAGTGATGTCAGCCGACATATGTGGTTAACAGAAAGAAAAGAAAATTGATTTGTTTTGCGTTGTTTTGTTATTTCAACCCACAATGGCTGAAGGAGGCAAAGATATTGATCTAGTGCAGGGGTGTCAAACTCATTTTGGTCCGGGGGCCAAATAAAACCTATTTGGATCTCAACTGGGCCGGACCAGAAAATTCTCTACAAAAATACCCAAAAACAGTACAAAGTCCAACGTTTTGTGCACATGAACACATTTAGTTAACACTTCATTTAAAGCAGTGTCTAATACTCTCTCAGATCTAACTTTAAGTCTGTGACTAACTTAAATGTAACAGTGAGCTTTTCAATGTGCAAATAAAGTATTTACAATAGTAAATACTAAATGGAAGTTAAGGGAAATATTTATATTATCATATTTGTTTTATTGAGGACCCCCTTGAAAAAGAGATGATTCATCTCAAGAGGCCATCCATAATGAAAATAATAAAATATTAAGACTACAGACAAAACTTCTCAATTCTCTGCTCAAAACGCCGTATTTTACGCAGAGCCATATACAGTGCCTTGCGAAAGTATTGAACCTTTCAACATTTCGCCACATTTCAGGCTTCAAACATAAAGATATACAATTTAAGTTTTTTGTCATGATCAACAACAAGTGGGACACAATCGTGAATGATCCAATGTTGTCCTAAATGACTGATGATGATAAATAGAATGCACCTGTGTGTAATCAAGTCTCCGTATAAATGCACCTGCTCTTTGATAGTCTCAGGGTTCTGTTTAAAGCGCAGAGAGAACCATGAAGACAAAGGAACACACCAGGCAGGTCCGAGATACTGTTGTGGAGAAGTTTAAAGCCGGATTTGGATACAAAAAGATTTCCCAAGCTTTAAACATCTCAAGGAGCACTGTGCAAGCAGTTATATTGAAATGGAAGGAGTATCAGACCACTGCAAATCTACCAAGACCCGGCCGTCCCTCCAAACTTTCATCTCAAACAAGGAGAAGACTGATCAGAGATGCAGCCAAGAGGCCCATGATCACTCTGGATGAACTGCAGATAACTACAGCTGAGGTGGGAGAGTCTGTCCATAGGACAACAATCAGTCGTGCACTGCACAAATCTGGCCTTTATGGAAGAGTGGCAAGAAGAAAGCCATTTCTCAAAGATATCCATAAAAAGTCTGGTTTAAAGTTTGCCACTAGCCACCTGGGAGACACACCAAACATGTGGAAGAAGGTGCTCTGGTCAGATGAAAACAAAATGGAACTTTTTGGCCACAATGCAAAACGATATGTTTGGCGTAAAAGCAACACAGCTCATCACCCTGAACACACCATCCCCACTGTCAAACATGGTGGTGGCAGCATCATGCTTTGGGCCTGCTTTTCTTCAGCAGGGACAGGGAAGATGGCTAAAATTGATGGGAAGATGGATGGAGCCAAATACAGGACCATTCTGGAAGAAAACCTGTTGGAGTCTGCAAAAGACCTGAGACTGGGACGGAGATTTATCTTCCAACAGGACAATGATCCAAAACATAAAGCCAAATCTACAATGGAATGGTTCACAAATAGACGTATCCAGGTGTTAGAATGGCCAAGTCAAAGTCCAGACCTGAATCCAATCGAGAATCTGTGGAAAGAGCTGAAGACTGCTGTTCACAAACGCTCTCCATCCAACCTCACCGAGGTCGAGCTGTTTTGCAAGGAAGAATGGGCAAGAATTCCAGTCTCTCGATGTGCAAAACTGATAGAGACATACCCCAAGCGACTTGCAGCTGTAATTGCAGAAAAAGGTGGCGCTACAAAGTATTAGCGCAAGGGGGCCGAATAATATTGCACGCCCCACTTTTCAGTTTTTTATTTGTTAAAAAAGTTCATTACACGGCTCCTCACAGCAGCAGTAGAACGCTCCATTGATTTGAATGTAATTTCAAAACGTTCTACCGGTCATTATTTTCTATAACGGACCTCTCAAAACAATAATGACCACTGCCCTTTGGCAACGCACTCTCTGCTTGTCTTTCAGATGCGTGGAGTAGTTCCAGCCACTCTGGAGCTAGCCACGCTCATTAAACATAAATACCTATCAATCAACACACTTAAATGTTAATCGGAGAATACTTTATACATATCCAGTCTTAATACAAGTGAACGGAAGTTTTCAGAATTTTCCGTTTACGTTTTCATGACAAAAACACTGATGTAATGCGAGAAAATGCGATCCAGAAAAACCCGGAAGTAGATACGGCACATTTTCGGACACATTTGCAGAGGATCGAATTATGGATTTAGGTTAGGTTTATGTATGGGTCACTCACCGCTGATGTTCAGGATTCTGTGTTCATTTTTCATGCAGTTCCAGAGAGTTCTAGTTTGGAAGTTGCTAGCCTAACTGTTACTAGCATAGTCACGGGAAAGCCTTTGGGAACTATTTTATTTTCTGTCATTAAATAAACTTTTCGGCATTCCTAAAAGTGGACTGAAGTTTATGTTGTGTGTTCTGTTGGTATAAAGCGGACCCCTCCGCTGCGCGTCGGGGTCCGCTTCGCCCTGTCGGTACTTATTTTCCGATAATGACCTGCGTAATATACGTTATCCCTTACTTAAATTATCCAATACATTTCGTTCCACTTCACGATTGTGTCCCACTTGTTGTTGTTGATTCTTGACAAAAAAAAATATTTTTATATCTTTATGTTTGAAGCCTGAAATGTGGCGAAATGTTGAAAGGTTCAAAGAGGGCGAATACTTTCGCAAGGCACTGTACTTGTAGATAGTTAAAGCACCATTCTCAAGAGAAACAGTGGAGGTAGGACCAAGAATCATACAGCCACAGAAGAGCTGAGGCTAAAAGCCGATGGGAACAGTTAGTCAACAACCAAACCTGCGAAGCTAGGCTAATACAACATGAAGGTCTATGATGAAGACATGGCTTCCCCACCGCCGCGGTAAGAAAACAGAACAGTAAGTCTCACCCGTTTATAAGCGGTATTTTAGCGATTGTTTAGTGGGGAGGATTCTGTGTATTCTGCATATTTTAGGTGTGTTGAAAAAAACTACAGTGGAAAATGTACAGTGCACAGTATTGGTCTGGACCGGGTCAAAACATTCAATACACCCGTGTGGGCCAGGGGCCAGGGGTCAGGGGCCAGGGGCCAGAGGGAGTCTGGTTTTGGCACCACAAGATTTTGGGGATAAAAATCAGCAGCTCCTAAAAGATAAGATAAGATAGGCTTATTTATCTCACAATGAAGATGGACAGGACCTCTACAGGACCTCTACAGGACCTCTATCTGCAGGACCTCTGCAGGACCTCTACAGGACCTCTATCTGCAGGACCTCTGCAGGACCTCTGCAGGACCTCTGCAGGACCTATACAGGACCTCTATCTGCAGGACCTCTGCAGGACCTCTGCAGGACCTCTGCAGGACCTCTACAGGACCTCTACAGGACCTCTACAGGACCTCTACAGGACCTCTGCTACCTCTGCAGGACCTCTGCAGGACCTCTACAGGACCTCTATCTGCAGGACCTCTGCAGGACCTATACAGGACCTCTATCTGCAGGACCTCTGCAGGACCTCTGCAGGACCTCTACAGGACCTCTGCAGGACCTCTACAGGACCTCTGCAGGACCTCTGCAGGACCTCTGCAGGACCTCTACAGGACCTCTACAGGACCTCTGCAGGACCTCTACAGGACCTCTGCAGGACCTCTGCAGGACCTCTACAGGACCTCTACAGGACCTCTACAGGACCTCTACAGGACCTCTGCAGGACATCTACAGGACCTCTGCAGGACCTCTGCAGGACCTCTGCAGGACCTCTACAGGACCTCTACAGGACCTCTATCTGCAGGACCTCTGCAGGACTTCTACAGGACCTCTACAGGACCTCTGCAGGACCTCTGCAGGACCTCTACAGGACCTCTGCAGGACCTCTGCAGGACCTATACAGGACCTCTACAGGACCTCTATCTGCAGGACCTCTACAGGACCTCTGCAGGACCTCTGCAGGACCTCTGCAGGACCTCTACAGGACCTCTACAGGACCTCTATCTGCAGGACCTCTGCAGGACTTCTACAGGACCTCTGCAGGACCTCTGCAGGACCTCTGCAGGACCTCTGCAGGACCTCTACAGGACCTCTACAGGACCTCTATCTGCAGGACCTCTGCAGGACCTCTACAGGACCTCTATCTGCAGCACCTCTGCAGGACCTCTACAGGACCTCTGCAGGACCTCTGCAGGACCTCTACAGGACCTCTGCAGGACCTCTGCAGGACCTATACAGGACCTCTACAGGACCTCTACAGGACCTCTACAGGACCTCTATCTGCAGGACCTCTGGAGGACCTCTACAGGACCTCTGCAGGACCTCTGCAGGACCTCTACAGGACCTCTATCTGCAGGACCTCTACAGGACCTCTGCAGGACCTCTGCAGGACCTATACAGGACCTCTATCTGCAGGACCTCTGCAGGACCTCTGCAGGACCTCTACAGGACCTCTGCAGGACCTCTACAGGACCTCTGCAGGACCTCTACAGGACCTCTACAGGACCTCTACAGGACCTCTGCAGGACCTCTACAGGACCTCTGCAGGACCTCTGCAGGACCTCTACAGGACCTCTATCTGCAGGACCTCTGCAGGACCTCTGCAGGACCTCTACAGGACCTCTACAGGACCTCTACAGGACCTCTGCAGGACCTCTACAGGACCTCTGCAGGACCTCTGCAGGACCTCTACAGGACCTCTATCTGCAGGACCTCTGCAGGACCTCTGCAGGACCTCTGCAGGACCTCTACAGGACCTCTACAGGACCTCTGCAGGACCTCTACAGGACCTCTACAGGACCTCTGCAGGACCTCTGCAGGACCTCTACAGGACCTCTGCAGGACCTCTGCAGGACCTATACAGGACCTCTACAGGACCTCTATCTGCAGGACCTCTGCAGGACCTCTGCAGGGACCTCTACAGGACCTCTACAGGACCTCTATCTGCAGGACCTCTGCAGGACCTCTACAGGACCTCTATCTGCAGGACCTCTGCAGGACCTCTATAGGACCTCTGCAGGACCTCTGCAGGACCTCTACAGGACCTCTGCAGGACCTCTGCAGGACCTCTACAGGACCTCTGCAGGACCTCTGCAGGACCTATACAGGACCTCTACAGGACCTCTACAGGACCTCTATCTGCAGGACCTCTGGAGGACCTCTACAGGACCTCTGCAGGACCTCTGCAGGACCTCTACAGGACCTCTATCTGCAGGACCTCTGCAGGACCTCTACAGGACCTCTATCTGCAGGACCTCTGCAGGACCTCTACAGGACCTCTGCAGGACCTCTGCAGGACCTCTACAGGACCTCTACAGGACCTCTACAGGACCTCTGCAGGACCTCTGCAGGACCTCTACAGGACCTCTGCAGGACCTATACAGGACCTCTGCAGGACCTCTACAGGACCTCTATCTGCAGGACCTCTGCAGGACCTCTACAGGACCTCTATCTGCAGGACCTCTGCAGGACCTCTACAGGACCTCTGCAGGACCTCTGCAGGACCTCTACAGGACCTCTGCAGGACCTCTACAGGACCTCTGCAGGACCTCTGCAGGACCTCTACAGGACCTCTGCAGGACCTCTACAGGACCTCTGCAGGACCTCTGCAGGACCTATACAGGACCTCTGCAGGACCTCTACAGGACCTCTATCTGCAGGACCTCTGCAGGACCTCTGCAGGACCTCTACAGGACCTCTATCTGCAGGACCTATACAGGACCTCTGCAGGACCTCTACAGGACCTCTATCTGCAGGACCTCTGCAGGACCTCTACAGGACCTCTATCTGCAGGACCTCTGCAGGACCTCTGCAGGACCTCTGCAGGACCTCTACAGGACCTCTACAGGACCTCTATCTGCAGGACCTCTGCAGGACCTCTACAGGACCTCTATCTGCAGGACCTCTGCAGGACCTCTACAGGACCTCTGCAGGACCTCTGCAGGACCTCTACAGGACCTCTGCAGGACCTCTGCAGGACCTCTACAGGACCTCTGCAGGACCTCTGCAGGACCTATACAGGACCTCTACAGGACCTCTACAGGACCTCTATCTGCAGGACCTCTGGAGGACCTCTACAGGACCTCTGCAGGACCTCTGCAGGACCTCTACAGGACCTCTATCTGCAGGACCTCTGCAGGACCTCTACAGGACCTCTATCTGCAGGACCTCTGCAGGACCTCTACAGGACCTCTGCAGGACCTCTGCAGGACCTCTACAGGACCTCTACAGGACCTCTGCAGGACCTCTGCAGGACCTCTACAGGACCTCTGCAGGACCTATACAGGACCTCTGCAGGACCTCTACAGGACCTCTATCTGCAGGACCTCTGCAGGACCTCTACAGGACCTCTATCTGCAGGACCTCTGCAGGACCTCTGCAGGACCTCTGCAGGACCTCTACAGGACCTCTACAGGACCTCTATCTGCAGGACCTCTGCAGGACCTCTACAGGACCTCTATCTGCAGGACCTCTGCAGGACCTCTACAGGACCTCTGCAGGACCTCTGCAGGACCTCTACAGGACCTCTGCAGGACCTCTGCAGGACCTCTACAGGACCTCTGCAGGACCTCTGCAGGACCTATACAGGACCTCTACAGGACCTCTACAGGACCTCTATCTGCAGGACCTCTGGAGGACCTCTACAGGACCTCTGCAGGACCTCTGCAGGACCTCTACAGGACCTCTATCTGCAGGACCTCTGCAGGACCTCTACAGGACCTCTATCTGCAGGACCTCTGCAGGACCTCTACAGGACCTCTGCAGGACCTCTGCAGGACCTCTACAGGACCTCTACAGGACCTCTGCAGGACCTCTGCAGGACCTCTACAGGACCTCTGCAGGACCTATACAGGACCTCTGCAGGACCTCTACAGGACCTCTATCTGCAGGACCTCTGCAGGACCTCTACAGGACCTCTATCTGCAGGACCTCTGCAGGACCTCTACAGGACCTCTGCAGGACCTCTGCAGGACCTCTACAGGACCTCTGCAGGACCTCTACAGGACCTCTGCAGGACCTCTGCAGGACCTATACAGGACCTCTGCAGGACCTCTACAGGACCTCTATCTGCAGGACCTCTGCAGGACCTCTACATGACCTCTACAGGACCTCTGCAGGACCTCTGCAAGTGGGTCATTGGCCCCTCACCCTCTTCTGTTTTTGCACCAAATGGCTTCAATTTAAGGGAAGCAGATACCTCTCTCCATTGTTCTCTTTGTTTCCTTCTGTTTAAACAAATGTATGACACTTAGGGATGTTTTTGCACATTGTTGACATGTGTGGACATTGTTGGCATGTGTGGACATTGTTGGCATGTGTGGACATTGTTGGCATGTGTGGACATTGTTGGCATGTGTGGACATTGTTGGCATGTGTGGACATTGTTGGCATGTGTGGACATTGTTGGCATGTGTGGACATTGTTGACATGTGTGGACATTGTTGGCATGTGTGGACATTGTTGGCATGTGTGGACATTGTTGGCATGTGTGGACATTGTTGGCATGTGTGGACATTGTTGGCATGTGTGGACATTGTTGACATGTGTGGACATTGTTGACATGTGTGGACATTGTTGACATGTGTGGACATTGTTGACATGTGTGGACATTGTTGGCATGTGTGGACATTGTTGGCATGTGTGGACATTGTTGGCATGTGTGGACATTGTTGGCATGTGTGGACATTGTTGGCATGTGTGGACATTGTTGGCATGTGTGGACATTGTTGACATGTGTGGACATTGTTGACATGTGTGGACATTGTTGACATGTGTGGACATTGTTGGCATGTGTGGACATTGTTGGCATGTGTGGACATTGTTGACATGTGTGGACATTGTTGACATGTGTGGACATTGTTGACATGTGTGGACATTGTTGGCATGTGTGGACATTGTTGGCATGTGTGGACATTGTTGGCATGTGTGGACATTGTTGGCATGTGTGGACATTGTTGGCATGTGTGGACATTGTTGGCATGTGTGGACATTGTTGGCATGTGTGGACATTGTTGACATGTGTGGACATTGTTGGCATGTGTGGACATTGTTGGCATGTGTGGACATTGTTGGCATGTGTGGACATTGTTGGCATGTGTGGACATTGTTGGCATGTGTGGACATTGTTGACATGTGTGGACATTGTTGGCATGTGTGGACATTGTTGACATGTGTGGACATTGTTGACATGCGTGGACATTGTTGACATGTGTGGACATTGTTGGCATGTGTGGACATTGTTGACATGTGTGGACATTGTTGGCATGTGTGGACATTGTTGACATGTGTGGACATTGTTGACATGTGTGGACATTGTTGACATGTGTGGACATTGTTGACATGTGTGGACATTGTTGATCTATTACTTCTTTAAGGCAGTGTTTTTCAACCTTTTTTGGGCCAAGGCACATGTTCGCGGCACACCACCAGGAGAAAATGTAAAAATAAAAACTTTGTAGCCTATATTCACAATATAAAGTCATTCTCATCAAAGTGCTTAAATATTTGGGAATTTTTTGTTGGGCGGCTGATTGGATTGCACTCTCGCTTCTCAGCAAGCAGGTCCTGGGTTCAAATCTCGGTCGGAACAGCTTTATTTACATATCACATTTAGATGAGAGTCATTTGCCCTTTTCTGGGCACCAGCCCCACAAGAGGATGGCTGCTCTGTCAATGACGACATAGCCTTGATCTTCCAGCGGGGGCTTCAGGCCAAGTGGGGTTAAGTGTCTTGTTCAAGGACACAACGACAGCAGACATCAGTGGGAGTTGGTGGAGAAGGTCTCATGGTGGAATACTGTTGAATAGAATACAAGTGTTACTGAAAACACTGTTAGACATGTTCTCCTTATATTACTTATATATATAATGAGTAACAAGAAAAATAAAATAAAGAATACCGTGTTTAATTAATGCAGTCGCTGGTTCAAACTCACTGCTTTAATGATGCTTGGTAAAACGTGGAGGAACTATCCATCATGGTGTAATCGAATGTACATTAGTGCTCAGCCGGTCTCTTAAATTCTGTCACTAAGATAATGGCCACACAGGTTCATTAGCTTCCTGTCAAATGGACTTTCTCTCCATCTCCTGTGGAGGATGGCCTGTTGATTATGGCTTAAACCAGGAGGTGTGCCCTGCCGCAGAGAGAGGGCTGAAGGAATGGACGTGTTCTAATACCTCTGGTGCTGCGTGTTCAAATCATTCATCACTTCAAACTATACAACAGCCTGGAAACTTGAACCATATATGTTGCATGGTTTTGGGGACCAATCACAGAACAGGGAGAGGCACGGCAAGACCTAAGATGGAAACTTGTAGTTTGTTTACAGATCCAGTAGATGGCAGCAGACGCCATCTTCCCTCATGTTTTACTTGCAGTCATAGTTCAGCACCGGTGTGCAAACATCCTTTGTCGGGGGGCGAGGCAAGAGTGTGCTAAACGGGGTTTGAATTTGTATTATGTGTTGGGGGGTGGGTTGTGGCGTGGGATGCCCTTCTCAGGGTTTCTGTCGCTTCTCGTCATGCTTTATCAGTTTACCTGATACAATCAATTCAATTCAGATCATATTTTAGACTTTTGTAGTTCCTAATAAACCACAATCCTCGACCTCACTTGTGCAGGACACTGCAGACTTATTCATCCTCTCTGTGTGAAGGAGAGGTTCTGCAGGTCTTTCCTTCCTGCTGCTGTCAGACTGTACAACAAACAATAAGGACTAATGAACACTGCCAACTTGATCCCATGTGTCATGCACTGTTCCAATATCCTTACCTAATATCAGAATGTGCAACATACAGCTGCTAATGTACAGGTGTAAACATACTGCTGCTAATGTACAGATGTAAACATACAGCTGCTAATGTACAGGTGTAAACATACAGCTGCTAATGTACAGGTGTAAACATACTGCTGCTAATGTACAGGTGTAAACATACTGCTGCTAATGTACAGATGCTAACATACTGCTGCTAATGTACAGGTGTAAACATACTGCTGCTAATGTACAGAATGTAAACATACAGCTGCTAATGTACAGATGTAAACATACTGCTGCTAATGTACAGGTGTAAACATACTGCTGCTAATGTACAGATGTAAACATACAGCTGCTAATGTACAGGTGTAAACATACTGCTGCTAATGTACAGGTGTAAACATACTGCTGCTAATGTACAGATGTAAACATACTGCTGCTAATGTACAGGTGTAAACATACTGCTGCTAATGTACAGATGTAAACATACAGCTGCTAATGTACAGGTGTAAACATACTGCTGCTAATGTACAGGTGTAAACATACTGCTGCTAATGTACAGGTGTAAACATACTGCTGCTAATGTACAGATGTAAACATACAGCTGCTAATGTACAGGTGTAAACATACTGCTGCTAATGTACAGGTGTAAACATACTGCTGCTAATGTACAGATGTAAACATACTGCTGCTAATGTACAGATGTAAACATACAGCTGCTAATGTACAGATGTAAACATACAGCTGCTAATGTACAGGTGTAAACATACTGCTGCTAATGTACAGGTGTAAACATTCTGCTTCTAATGTACAGGTGTAAACATACTGCTGCTAATGTACAGATGTAAAAATACTGCTGCTAATGTACAGATGTAAACATACAGCTGCTAATGTACAGGTGTAAACATACTGCTGCTAATGTACAGATGTAAACATACTGCTGCTAATGTACAGGTGTAAACATACAGCTGCTAATGTACAGATGCTAACATACTGCTGCTAACATGTACAGGTGTAAACATACTGCTGCTAATGTACAGGCGTAAACATACTGCTGCTAATGTACAGATGTAAACATACTGCTGCTAATGTACAGGTGTAAACATACAGCTGCTAATGTACAGATGCTAACATACTGCTGCTAACATGTACAGGTGTAAACATACTGCTGCTAATGTACAGGTGTAAACATACTGCTGCTAATGTACAGATGTAAACATACTGCTGCTAATGTACAGGTGTAAACATACTGCTGCTAATGTACAGGCGTAAACATACTGCTGCTAATGTACAGGCGTAAACATACTGCTGCTAATGTACAGGTGTAAACATACTGCTGCTAATGTACAGATGTAAACATACAGCTGCTAATGTACAGATGCTAACATACTGCTGCTAATGTACAGGTAAACATACTGCTGCTAATGTACAGGTGTAAACATACAGCTGCTAATGTACAGGTGTAAACATACAGCTGCTAATGTACAGATGTAAACATACTGCTGCTAATGTACAGATGTAAACATACTGCTGCTAATGTACAGATGTAAACATACAGCTGCTAATGTACAGATGTAAACATACTGCTGCTAATGTACAGATGTAAACATACTGCTGCTAATGTACAGATGTAAACATACTGCTGCTAATGTACAGATGTAAACATACTGCTGCTAATGTACAGGTGTAAACATACAGCTGCTAATGTACAGATGTAAACATACTGCTGCTAATGTACAGATGTAAACATACTGCTGCTAATGAACAGATGTAAACATACTGCTGCTAATGTACAGGTGTAAACATACTGCTGCTAATGTACAGATGTAAACATACAGCTGCTAATGTACAGATGTAAACATACAGCTGCTAATGTACAGGTGTAAACATACTGCTGCTAATGTACAGATGTAAACATACAGCTGCTAATGTACAGATGTAAACATACTGCTGCTAATGTACAGGTGTAAACATACTGCTGCTAATGTACAGGCGTAAACATACTGCTGCTAATGTACAGGCGTAAACATACTGCTGCTAATGTACAGGTGTAAACATACTGCTGCTAATGTACAGATGTAAACATACAGCTGCTAATGTACAGGTGTAAACATACTGCTGCTAATGTACAGGTGTAAACATACAGCTGCTAATGTACAGGTGTAAACATACAGCTGCTAATGTACAGATGTAAACATACTGCTGCTAATGTACAGATGTAAACATTCTGCTGCTAATGTACAGATGTAAACATACTGCTGCTGATGTACAGATGTAAACATACAGCTGCTAATGTACAGGTGTAAACATACTGCTGCTAATGTACAGATGTAAACATAC